CCCCTTGTTTAAAATCGGTCACAAACGGAGATTAGAAGAAAGATGATATGTATTCAGTGCTTCCGCAAGATCGCTCAAAAGAACTTGGGGAAGAGCTGCAAAGGTAAGCATAGGCAGTGAGGAGAAGGGTGTGGAAGGAGAGCCTCTAGGGCAGCGGTTCTCAACCTGTGGGTCGCGACCCCTTTGGGGGTCGAACGACCCTTTCACAGGGGTCGCCTAAGATCATTGGAAAACGCATATAGAATTACTTATTGTTTTTGTGATTAATCACTATACTTTAATTATGTTCAATTTGTAACAATGAAATTGGGGGTCACCACAACATGAGGAACTGTATTAAAGGTCGTGGCATTAGGAAGGTTGAGAACCACTGCTCTAGGGTCTAATGCTTTGGACTTTGGACGGGGTATTGTCTTCCTTTGGGTCCTTCTGGAGCTTGGGTACACTGCCCTCCCTAACCCTCAGGCTGTCCCTGGGCTTAACCTGCTTGACAGGTGGGTGAAACTGGAGGTGCCTGTGCATTTGTGGAAGTGGAAACAGCCCCGAGCCAGAGCCCTGAATGCCAAGAACCATCTGGGGAGGAGGTATCCCTGCAGGAAGTTGTCTGGACTCCTGTCTGCCCTCTTGGGCTCCTCAAGGTGCCGTAGTCCTGCAGAACCGGCAGGAACTTGTTTCGTGAGATTGGGGCTGTTCCCCTCCAGGCCTGATGTTCTGGCGCCTCAGATACTGCACCGCGAATTCTGGGAGCCCTGCAGACAGTTAGCCAGCATCTATTGGACAGGGGTGAAGTGCCCAGCAAGAGGCCCTTACCTTTCCCTCTGCTACCTCCCCGGTTTGCCCTGCGGCAGGGCGTGCTGCTCTTCACCGTGCTGTGCTTCTCCTCACAGGTACTGGGATGAAGAACTTTCGAGAGCCCAGAAGGTCCCACGGGAGCCATCTTTAACAAAAGCAATCATCAGGTGTTACTGGAAATCCTATGCAATTCTGGGATTTTTTACGTTATTTGAGGTAAAAGCTTTGACCGCAGTGAACTTTTTTGGGACCATTGGGGAGAGAGGCAAGAAGTTTAAGGCCTGTGGATAAAAGGTGTCCAGGAAACACGATACCGTTAGGCTGGGCAATACTTAAATGACTAGACCTGGGAGGAGGGGGTCACTATTTTTCTGTTAACCAATTAGAGTAGAGTGTTGAAGAAGGGCAGCCCTGAAAAGAGAAGACATTTCTTACCATGTTAGGACACGGTTGGTGCTCAGTCAATGTTATAAACACTGAGTGGTCCTTGACCGGAAGAAGATCCCACAACCTCCAGGAATATGTGGTTTGGAGGAAGTCAGTTGGGCCCAGTGCCCAGAATCGCGAGGCATTTTACAGGTGCTCTACAAATAACTGTTACCTTGACCAGGCCAGACCTGATAAATGTTCTTCCAAACAGGTGTTGTCACCTTCCAGGGAAATAGAACCGGGGCCCTGCGTCTGGGCTGGAGCTGGCCAGAGCTCCCAGGAGCAGACGTGCCTCCAGGCTGCCACCTTTGCCGTGGGCCCGGGTACAACAAAGCAATGCCTTCTCTCTGGAGAAGCTCTGGCATCACCATGAATTCTGGAGAATTTGGGCATCACCCATTCTGGTTTCTGGTTATTGGGCCGATGGCTGGTTGGAAGGTTGTCTTGGTAGCCTGGCATTTCAGAGAGTGTAGGAGGGGATGTGCTACAGAGAACCCAAGGCAGAAATCCATGATATCAATGACCTCCCTTGCCCTGAAGGGCCTCCAGTAAGACATTGTCTGCCTGGGGGCACAGTGCCAGCAAGCCTACCTGTCCTGGGTAGGTATGCTGAAAATCTGCCTGCATAGCTCATGCTCTCCGTGCTTATGGACATTGGTGGCCCTGCGTGTGCCTGAGATGAGTAGAGACAGAAGTAGCACTTGCTATGAAAGGGTTGTTTCAGCTGCAGGAGGGCAGTGAGTTGTCATAAGTGCGTTTTGTTGGGGGTGAGATGGGTGGGTCGGTTGATTGGATGTAGGAGGTGTAGCTCCTGTTTATTTTTATTTTTTTATTTTTTAAAATATATTTTATTGATTTTTTACAGACAGGAAGGTAGAGGGATAGAGAGTTAGAAACATCAATAAGAGAGAAACATCGATCAGCTGCCCCCTGCACACCCCCTACTGGGGATGTGCCCGCAACCAAAGTACATGCCCTTGACTGGAATCGAATCTGGGATCTTTCAGTCCGAAGGCCGACGCTCTATCCACTGAGCCAAATCGGTTAGGACTGTAGCTCCTGTTTAAAAGGTTCTGCTGTAGTGAAGGGCACTGTGGGCATTGGGTGGCTAGGTAGATGAACTCTCCCCTACACAATTGGAGAAAACCAGGGACTCTGTCAGCTAGCAGGTACAGGTGACTGGGTGGTCCTGGGAAACTGAAGTTGTTGATGACAGATGTGGGTTGGCTAGTGTGCCAGAGGTTGGGGACAGGTGTATGGGGCAGAGTGCCTCCTTTGAGAGGGCACCAACCACCATGTGGATACCGCTGTGGCCTTGTGAAGGGCAGGGTGGAGATGCAGACCAGTGGGACTAACTGGGGGTATTAGAGGGTGCAAGTGCCCCTTAGGCTGGCCAGCCAGTCTTTGACCTGTGCACAGGTGTTCCAGGGATGGTGTTTCTACATTGTGACAAGTCTCAGTTTGAAATAAGCAGGTGTGAAGCTTGTGTCACTGTGGCCTGTGTCTGTAGCCTTTCCTGACCAAATGTGACTGCTGACCTCCCCAAGCAGAGCTCTCATGAATTCTGCTTGCCAGGAGTCCTCGGAGCCTCGGATGTGCCTGTGGCCCACACCATGTGTCTGGTTGTGGGTGGATGGACTGAGTGGCCTCGGGCTAGTTTGGGATAGAATGCTGGAGCAGGCTCCCTCCGCTGCCCCCAGTTCTCTAGTTTCCCTTTGCTACCAGGTGCTGGAGAAGCTTTGCGTCTTTACTGGGCGGAATTTGGGAGAAGTAGACACAGAGGTAGAGCTGCAGGAGCTAGGGTTCCTCTTGAGAGAGAGAGCATAGGCCCCACTGTGGTGCTGGGATTTTTGCCCCAGTAGTACTTAACTATTGGGAGATCCAGGACACCTAGGATTGGGGGACTGAACGTAGGTGCAGCAGCCAGGTACTCTCTACCCAGTAGAGACCCAAAGCTCATTCTCAGATGGGATCTAGTCACCATCTGGGGCTTAGAGACACCACCCCAAGGAGCCAGCCAGGACAACAAGCTCAGTTCAAACCCAGCAACTGGGGCCAGTCACCCTTTGAGACCTGCCTGTCTTCAGCTTCTCCAGCACCTGGTACCTAGCCAACATGGGGCTCATACTCAGTAGTATTAGTATTAATATTAGTATGAGTAGCAGCAGGAATAGTACTATACTCCTCAGTAGTAATAGCAGCAGCAGTGGTTCGTATTGAGTGGTAATAGTAGTACCAGTAGTGGTGTCAGCAGGGCTTACTCAGCGGTGGTGATGGCAGAGTAGTATTTTAAGTGTAGTAATAACACTAAACACTAAGCTTCTATGAGCACCTTATATGTAATATTACACTTATTCCGTTGGCCAACTCTAAACAAGGTGGAAAGTATCCTTATAACCCCATTTTAGAAAGGAGGACACACAGTGCCAAGTAGATACACATTGTGCCGAGGGTCACACAAAGCATGAAGGACAGAGCTGCGACTCTGTCTTGGACTCTGTGATTAGAGCCTGACCATGTCTAGGACCATGTCCAGTGTCTTCAGAATCTCAGACATGTGCATCTTGGACTTGGCTTAGCTATGATAAGTAAGATGCTAAAAACTCCCTGGAGCCTGGCCGGTTTGGCTCAATGGTTGAACCAGGAGGTCATGGTTTGATTCCCAGGTTGCCGGCTCCATCCCCAGTAGATGTGCAGGAGGCAGCAATCAATGATTCTCTCTCATCATTGGTGTTTCTGTCTCTCTGTCCCTCTCCCTTCCTCTCTGAAATAAATAATCAATCTATCTATCTATATGTATTAATCATATTTATATATATCTATATATATAATGTCAAGCAACTGGAATGACCGGTTGCTATGATGTGCACTCTGGCTGGCCAACCTCCTGCGGCCCCTCCCCCAAGCTGGCCATCGTCCCCCCCCCCACCCCCCACCCCCATTGGCCTCTATCGCCTGCCAGGCCAAGGGACCCCACCCATGCACGAATTCGTGCACTGGGCCTCTAGTATATAAATAAAAGAAAAGCTTTATATGCTAAAGTGGTGCTCTGCAAACCCTAACAGGTGTACAAACAAAATAAAAGAAACTCCCTGGAGCAGGAAGTCAGACTGAGGATTGAAAATTGGGGTAGCCAGGTCCCCTGGGTGCTGAAAGTGGCTAGGGCAGTGGTCGGCAAACTGCGGCTTGCGAGCCACATGCGGCTCTTTGGCCCCTTGAGTGTGGCTCTTCCACAAAATACCACGTGCGGGCTTGCATGTACAGTGCGATTGAAACTTCGTGGCCCATGTGCAGAAGTCGGTATTTGCCGACCACTGGGCTAGAGTGTTGATGCTAGCAGCAGCAGCATGGTGCACTCAGATGGACCAGGGCCTTGTAGAAAGACACCTTCCACTCATTACCATCCCCAAGTGGGTGCAGTTGTGGCTGTGGCCCCGGTGACCTAAGTTCTCGAACATTCATTCACACTCCTAAGGCTCCATTCCAGGTCAGCTCCTTGAGATGGACCCAGGACGTAGCGGTCTTGGATGGGACTCAGATTATGATTTCTCAGATTACTCAGCAAGAGCACCTGGTTGTCTGCCGCGAGCTGGTGAATCGAGGAGTGCATGTGCATGTGCTCAGCAAGGATGGGAATCCCACATCAGTCACTTGTGTGGGGGGGGCAGTTCTGTCTCGATGTCTGAACACACTTTCACATCGCAGGGTGTGCACTGGGCCTGGGGTGTTCATGGTGACAGCTGGATGGCACCGGGCAGTGCTGGTAGCAGACACATCAGAGGTGAAGTGGTATTGGGCTTTCTCCCAGGAGTGTGCTTGCTTGTTCATGCTGCGTTCAGGTGGTTTGTGGTATAAAATTAGACAGTGGCCTAGATTCCCTAGATGAGCATGCTGTTCATTTGAACTGCGTGTTTAAGATAATAACTGGCAGAACTCTTCGTTGTGATGCAGTGAAGTTCAGGGGCCCCTAAGGGTCATTAGAGCTCAGCTAGAAGTAAACCTTGAATTTCTTGTTTCTGGCAGCCAAAAGAAGCCTGAAATCCAACACAAATACTCTTGTTTTCCTAGACTTGCTTGTTGACACTCTGCTGTTTTGGAGACGTTGGAAATGATTTCTTAGGGTGAAACTAGGAAGGCTCTGTTTATATTTCAAAAATCATTTTCAAGTGCTGTTCTGGGTTTTCAGTGATTAAAACTAGTTACTGAGTTAGCTGGGATGAACGTTAGTTTAATGATTGATTTCTTGAAGCAGCTTCCCATTTTGTGGTCTTATGTCTATGCTCCTTGTGGGTCTTTGCATTTTAGATAGTGGAGGATCTAAACTCAACCTGGGATTTTCTAGAAAGCTCAAGGCCTGAGAATTACCAAAGTGTGGGCAGGGCCTTCCCTGGGCCCCGCTGGCAGCAGCCAGGGGAGGAGGCTGGGTGACGCCAGCCCAAGGCAAGGCTTTTCAGGCTGGGATTTCAAAGTAGTGAAAACCTCTGTCCTACAGAATTGAGGAATGATTATATGCTCGGAGAAACAGGTACCAGGCTGGTGATGAACGCGGTGTTCTTACAGGCCAGCGCTAATTAGAAGGGAACAGCCAGTGAGTTCCCAGCACTCCTGGGCCCTGGTGTACCGCCATGGAGACTGCAATGGGGAAGGAGCAAGTCTCTTTCCATCCAGAGCCCTCAGGGTAGAGAGGAGGAGCCTGAAGCCTCTTCTAGGGCCAAACCTTGGGGAAGGCCACTTCCCCAGTCCTGGGGCCTTTTCTTGGAGAGATGAGTTCTCTGCCTGCTGGTATG